CTACTTTAAGATAATTTCTCTCAGATATTTTGTAATAACAACAAAAAGCTAACACAGGCCAGCGATTTAGCTCAGTGGTGCCACTGCTTGCCTTGCAAGCACAAGGTCCTGAGTTTGATCCCCAGTACCAAAAAAGCTAACACAGCCGCCTTCCACAAACACTCCACCTCATCTTGCTACCAGTGATAATCCGAGTAATTATGAAGCCCTTGCTTGCTATCGATACCAGCATCACAATATCTACCAGACACAAGAGGTCATTTGTGTATTCATTAACTATGTTAGCAACTCAGTCCTATATTCTACTCCTTATGAACATTTCTAGTTTTAAAAAAAGGCTTTATCATTTTTGGACCTGGCAGGAAACATAATTTCACTCAAGTATTTTACTTGAAGAAACTTTGTAAGGGCACCATTCAAAAAGAGGAGGACAGGATTAAAGGAACCAACAATTATATTAAAATGTCCAGAATCTAACACTGGACTGAAACTATTAGTCCCTTTACTTAAAGGGTAAGATAGATAACCTAAACTCAGCCAAAACTGGAATGGAAGAAAGTATTATAAAAGGTATAAAGCAGCAGGTTCACAGCCACTGCTAGAACTACATCACTAAAGTAGGGGAAATCAGAGTAAAAATTACCTTATCTTCTTTCTCCTCCTCCCTTCTTATCTCCTGCTAATTCATTTGTCAAGCTCAATCACAAAACAATTTAAATCCAAACACAAGGATGCCAAATTCATAGGGAGCAGGCTTTCAGTGTGCCAGATGGGGGAGGGTCTGAAAATGGTGGAGGGATGGACAAATAGAAAATAAACAACACATATTGTGAAAAATCAAAATCAACTGAGCAAGATGACTTTGAACACAGTAAGAATAACCCCTAAGAAAACTAAAATAGGCAATTAAAACTATAAAATATTACAAATAATAAATGTGAACTATAGAAGCATATCCAGATGTAGAATGAATAAAGAAAGAGGTAGAAAGAATCTAAGGTGATAAACATAAATGCTGAAGATTCTGAAACTGCAAACAGTAGGTATTTTCAGTGATGAAAAGAGATAGTGCTTATATGTTTCTCTATTTTATTTATAGTTCTGGCACATTATAACCCACTTGAATGAATGGATGGATGGATGAAAAAATAGAAGAAAAACAAAATCAATAAGACATTGATTTTTAAAGTAAAAACAAAGCAAACCAATAATATAAAAACACTACTCTGAATTATTTGAAATAGAAAATGCAGATTGTGTCATCATCTTTCGATTAATGTACTAAATACCTGAGATAATCAGCTTATGAAGAAAAAAGATTGGGGCCAGGGATTTAGCTCAGTGGTTCTGGGGCCTGCCTCACAAGCACAAGGTCCTAGGTTCAATCCCTGGCACGAAAGAAAAACTTTATTTTGGCTCACAGTTTTAGAGATTTCAGTCCATGATTGCTTAGCCCCATTGCTTTGGGGCCTGCAGTGAAGTATAGTAGTCTCTCGCAAAACTGTTCAATGGACAGCCAGATTGCAGAGACAGAGAGAGAGAGAAAGAAATCCATGCTCCCTCAAACACCATTCCCCTAGTGACCAGAAGACTTCCCACTACCTTTTAAAAGTTCTACCACCTCCCAATGGCACCACAGACCTCCCAGTAGCACCAAACATTTAATGGGACTTTAGAGGATATTACTGATTGAAGCTATAGCATTAAAAAATATCAAGCCACCCTTGGATTCTTCTCTTCAACAATGAATGCCAAATATTTTCTGTAGAACCTTCAAAGAAAACTAATATTGCCTAAACATTTGGAACCAATTCATTATTCATATGCAAACCTAATGGAAAGATGTTGTAACCACTATGTTTCATTAAATCTGAGATTCTGTTGATTATAAGTCATTTTGTTCGAATAACACAAAAAAATTAAAAATGCTTCCAGTAGGACAGGGGATTTAACTCAGTGGTTCCGGCACCTACCTTGCAAGCACAAGGTCCCGAGTTCGATCCCTGGTGCCAAAGAAAAGAAAAATGCTTCCAGTTAATCTCTAACACAATGTGTTCACAGTGATCCTAAGTGATTGCATTGCTTGGTATGTGATAAGACAGTCATTTTGCATATATCTCAATAGCATAATATAAAACAATTTTTACCTACTAGAGGCTTTCTTCCTTTCTTGGGTCTTGAAAAATAGTTGAAAGTTTTTCTATAAAGAATGTGGAATTCTGTCGCCTGCCTTGCAAGCGCAAGGACCCGAGTTCAATCCCCGGTACCAAAAAAAAAAAAAAACAATGTGGAATTGCAGTATATCCTTCTACAATATTGATTTTATTGATAAATATATGTTACTCCTTAGTTTTCTTTTCTTGCTGCACCCACAATAACTTTGTTTCATACCAAATTCTAATTTAGTATTTCTGAAGACATTAAATAGCAGTAAAACTCAACATCTACCAAAGATTCAGGAAACTCAAAGTGATAACAATATAAATAACTGAGACAAAATACAGTCAGCCCTCCATATCTTAGATTCTGCATTCATGGATTCAACCAACCAAGGATCAAAATATTTGGAAAGGGCTGAGGCTCTGTTTGCCTAGCATGTATGAGGTCCTGGGTTCAAACCCCAACACCAGAAAAAAAATTGCATCTGTACTAATACTTTTATTTCTTCTCATTATTCCCTGCATAATACAGTATAATGACCATTTACATGGCATAGTATTAGATCTTGTAAATTATCTAGAGATTATTTAAAGTATACAGGTTAAGGTTATAGAAAAAAATACATATATATATAGTACTGGGGATTGAACCCAGTGCCTTCACACTAAGCTACATCCCCAACTCTTTTTTTTTTTCTTTTTTTTCCAATTTTGAGACAGTGTCTTGCTAAGTGACTAAATTGCCCATGGTGGGCTCAAACTTGTGATCCTTCTGTCTCAGGCTCCCAGAGTGCTGAGATTACAGATGCGCATCACAACCCCCAGGTTATGTAAACCATTGTATAACCATCCTCTGCCTCTGCTGTCTGCGCAGGATCGTAGAACCAATACCCTGCAAAGCCCGGTGGACGACTAAACTTTCAAGTGAGGTATTAACCATGATGTCATGAGTGCCACCTGGTGGACAAGGACTGTTAAGATGTTTTTATGATGTAAAAATCCTGAAGAAATTTTAGCCAACTAAACACAGCAATATATAAAAAGAATATTCTATTACATCACTGTTGGATTTATATCAGTAATCTGTGATAGTTTAGTATTAGAAAATTAATCAGTGTGGCACACTGATTAATTACAGATTACAGGAGAAAAAATTGTACAATTGTAGATAACCTGAGGCTAGTCTGGCTAGAGCAGAGTAAACAGCCCAGAATATTATAGGAAGTTAGGTCAGAGAGGCCAACAGAATCCAGATCATGATGCCCTTAGAAGGCATTGTGAGTACTTCAGCTTTTTCTCAGAGGGAGATTGAAGCCATTGAGAGTTTTGATTAGGGAATTAGATGAAGTGACTTAATATTTGGTAGGTTGTTTGGTTTTGGTTTTGGTTATCATTGTTGTTATTGTTGTTGTTACTTGAGAATAATCTGAGGTGAACTATCAGCAGAATCTTGGAGACCTGTTGGGAGGCACAAGAGAGATAAAGGTGGCTTGTATAGGGTGATAGTAATAGCCATGGTAGGAAGTGATTGGATTCTATACGCAAATGGTCCTTGATTTAGGGTGATTCACTTTGCGAGTTTCTAACTTTACAAACAGTGAGAAAGCAGTATGATTTCAATGTAATCTGTACTTTGAATCTTGAATTTTCATCTCTTCCTAGCCTACAGATATTCAATTGGATATTATCTTGTGATAGTAGGCAGCATCAGGGATGCACAGCTGCCAATTAATCATGTAATCACAAGGGAAACAACTGATACTCTACAGTGTGCTATGTGACTCAACTAGGACAGTAGAAAGGTTAGGTATATTAAATGTACTTTTAACTTACAATATCTTCAACTTCCAATGAGTTTATCAGAACATAACCCCATAAATAGAAGAGCAGCTGTATATATTGAAGGTAGAGTCAATAGGACTTGCTGTAGATTAGATATAGGCAGGATATGAGAGAAAGAAAAAAATTAAGAGTGACATCAAAGTTTTTGGACTGAACAATAGGAAGATTTGGGATGTAGCAAGTTTGCATGAGGATTAGGAGTTCCGTTTGGATAGAGATGCCTAATCAACATTGTTCTGGAGCTATTGGTAGGCAGATATTATTAGCCTGGACTTCAAGAAGGAGAACTAGACAGGAGACTTAATTTTTGGAACCATTCTCATAAAGATAGATTTAAAAACCTAAAACTGGATGAGATCTCCGAAGACTAAGATGAAACTCAAGAACTGAATCCTAGGGCACTCCTATGCTTAGGGGTCAGGGACAGGAGAGCCTGGGTAGAGTGGAGTGCATAAATCAGCCTTTCTCTCTAGAACTTTCACTCTAGCTCCTTCCTGGAGAGGGACCCTTCCTCTAGATCACTATCTGACTGGCTAAATGAATGCTGCTCTACCACCAGATTACTGACAGTACTTCTCAGCAACATGGTGCTGACAGAGAACCTCAGCCACGCAGTTTGTGTCAACATAATGACCCAATCTACTGATAATCCTCTTGCCATTATTATCTCACTAATTCTATCTATTCAGAAACCTGATTCGTTGGTTTCAGAAAGAGAAAATACTACCAAGAAAATTAAATTCCTTTCCTCTAGATCCCTTAATTAAACATCCCTTATTCTGTTCTGTCCTTCACCTACTTCAGTGAGAAGATTCTATAGCAACATGGACCCTGGAAAAGACTTCCCAGAGATTTAATACAGACTAACATGAATTTTGCTAATTCAAGAGCCCTTAGAGCCCTATTCCTACCCCTCAGTTTAAATGTTTTACAGGTTATGATATTATTATATTTCAATTTGTATTATGTCATGTAAGACTTCTGTTTATTTCCTTATAGGACTAGGGACATACAGTGAAATTGGAATTGTTACCGATAATGTTTTCACATTATACTATGATCACTTGGGATTCATACATAAACTGACTCCAACTCACTTTGAATCCTCTGAAAATTCCAAAATTTTTGGACAGGTTGGTGATATAATATATTGAAACAGTTTCCCTTGTTATAAGAATATGTTCCACATTCTACACACAGAACAATGATAAAGTATTTTCCTTGGGACAAATTCTTACTAACGTACTTTGCTCTATTTAACTAAAGGAAAACCTCCACATACCAGGGAACATTTCCAAAATCTTCTCCCAACTACATTACAGAGTTATATAGCTACAGTTTGACACCAGATATCTTCATGAAAATGTCTTCACAGCAGAACACTACTAGATCTTCCAAACTAGATCCCTTACCCCCAACGCAATCCCAGATGGGGTTGATTCTCTGCTTCCTAAGGTCAATCTTGAAGAAGCAAGTTCTGGCTCTCCTTCCTCCATATTAACCCTGCCCTTTAATTTCCTCTTTTCTTCATCAAACTCCTCTAGATGCACTGCAGACAGATTTTTATAATAATTTTAAAGTATAATATGCTACTTGTAAAAGGTCTGTATACCAAAGAACTCATCATGAACATGCAGTCATGAAAATGAACACTCACCAGTATATCAGCAAATAATCAATCTTTTGACTGGGTATAATAAAACCTTCTCTCTGGCTTATAGAAAGCAGAAAAGAGGATGAATCTCATTTTAAAAGATCACTCCAATTACCAGGCCAGGACTGCAGTTGAGAGGATGGTGTTTTCACATACCCTGTCTGAGATATTCTCACAGAATGAGAGTGGAGACATTCATGTGAGAGTGCTATGCCACCACGTGTCTCCCCACATGTTCATCTGAATCTGGGGGTGTGGATTTGCATATATATAAAGTGAATGATGTGAACTAGAAGGTAGAACTATCCAAAAAAGCAGTTACCTCAACATTTCATTCAATTCACAATTTTGCAGAAATTGGCTCCTTTATGTGAAAGTTTAAATTATTACAATGAAAACTATAATATATGGGGGTTTTATACTCAGAACAAGTTTGAGAAACTCATACTCAACATTCTCTCTCTCTTTCTCTCTCTCTCTAAATTATGCATGCATCCTCTCTAGAAAAAATAATCACTAGCTCTTTTTATGTGGAAGACACTGCTGTAAGCTCTTAAAATCTTTATTGTAATTGTTTATTCCCATTTTACTAAGAGAAAAGTAGGTACAGCGGGTGTGAATAATACTCAAAATTACACAACTGGTTAGTTTTTGGAATCAGGCATGTATCCCAGGCAGCTGGCTCCAGGACCTGTCCATTTAGCCAGTCTTATTTCCAATTCTCTCCCCTTCTCAGTGGGTCCCAAAAATACAGAGGCTGAGGGGAAAAGCATAACAGAAAATGAATCTTAGAGGCACAGTATGATGAGTGTTCCCCCAAACAGTCTGCACCATCTACCAACTACTCATTGCATCCTAGCAATAAGGTCAACTCCAGCATCTCCTTTTGGGGTTGGTACCCACTTCTTTTCTTACCCCTAGAAGTTCCCAAAACTGAACAGGATTAAGACTGAAGAAGGATGTGTTGAAAAGAGCTACTGGCCGAGCCAAGGCAAGAGAATCACAGCCCAACCCGGGCAACTTAGAATTTAGTGAGACCCTGTCTCAAAATAAAAGTAAAAAATAAAAATGGCAGGGGAAGACCCTATATTCAATCCCCAGTATCAGAAAAGAAAAAGGAAGAAGAGAAGACCTACAGGTCAGAAATGTAGGCCGAAAGAGCCTATGTTGACTCCAAGGGAAAGTCTGGATCAGAAGATGTGAAAAAGGACTACGTCAGCAGGGACTCAGTCACTTACAACGACTCTTGCAAGAAGCTGGGAGCAGCAGCCCTCAAGTGAGAAGTATGTTCTAGGCCCTTTCCTAAATAAAACACCAAATAAGAACCCAGTTCTAAACTCTGTACCTTCTGACTCCTCGCACACAATGAAAACCTAGTCTCTGTACATCCTTCCATTGCAGCCAAAGACACAGAAATCTCCAATTGAGTCTTAGTCATCAGAATTTCTTTTCCTTTTCACTTTCTGTTGTACACACACACATATTCAGATTACAGTGAAATATTACTCCAATTAATAAGTAAATAGTATTGTTTTGATGTGAATTGAAACAAATCTGTTATTTGAATTTTGTCATAATTGAAGTATAAAATCATTTAAATGGAATATTTTATTTTCTCCAATAGCAGGCTCCTGATATGGGCTTTGAGACTGCACTTGCTCTGCAGTATATCTCCCCTGATGAAATGATCTTTTTTGCATATGTACCTCCAAATGAACCTCGGGAAACTATACACACCAAGAAGTTTAATAATATGCATTTTGGAAAACTGATACACTCCAGGTAATTAATGATTTGCCTCACATTTATTTAGATTGATTTTTAGATTCTAAATTTTGAACCTAGTTGTGATCCAACAGAGTAAGTCTTTCTTTGATACCCCACAAGGCCAAATACATTTATAAACTCCAAGTTCTCTTGCCTTGCATGATGCCTCAGTTTTAGAAATGTAGTGCCACTTATATCAGCCCCATCAAGCTAAACTATAGAAAAGTGGTCCTGAATACACTGGATACTTCTTATCCACAGTGTTCACCACTGAAGTGACAATTGTTTTATGGCCTAGAAACAAACACATCTAACCTAACGGAAACTGTCTTTCATGAAATGCTTTATGGTAGGGTATACAGAATTCTCAGAAATGCTTACTTCTAAGATGTTGCAAGAGCCAAAGGACTTTAAAGTTACCTTTAAGGCCTCAAAGCTCTATTGTTTTCCCCAGTCCTTTTTACAACTTTTTTTCTAGACAAGGTCTTGCTAATTTGTGAAGTTGTCCGGGTTGGCCCCAAACTTGCAAACCTGCCTCAGCTTACAGGCATGTGCCACCTTGCCCAGCTTTAAAAACTCTTTTTTGGGGGGGCGGGGTTTACTGGGGATTGAACTCAGGACCTTGCGCTTTCAAGGAAAGTGGCAGAACCACTGAGCTAAATCCCTGGCCCGCCACACTTACTACTCTTTTTTTTAATCTTTTATTGAGCAACTCCTTCCTAATTTTTTTAATAGCACAACATTTATTGGTACATTTTAGGCAACACTCATCATAGGACTACCCTTAACCCCCTCTGCCTCTGGAAGTCTAGCAGTGTTGGGGTGCCCTTCAGCCCTTCAGCAGTCCTTCTGGGCAGCATTTCTTTAGTTTCCTGCCTCTCCTCTACCCCTGCACTGCCTTTGTCTCCAGGAAATAAGCATCATCTGAATTTTGTGTTAAGATTTTTTTAACATTTATTTTTTATCTTTAATACATGTGTATCAAAATGTATTATTTTGTTTGGCTATCTGCGCCTTTTTCTGTGACTTGATATTTTCATATAACATGAGGCTTTTAAAATTACTTCATGTGCTTTTAAAATTGCTTCATATTGGGCCAGGGATTTAGCTCAGTGGTTTCACTGCCTGCTACACAAGCGCAAGGACCCAAGTTCGATCCCCGGTACCAAATAAATAAATAAATAAATAAATAAATAAATAAATTGCTCCATATTGATAGATATAATTCATTCACATGAATATACCACAATTTATTTAGCTATTCCCCTATTGTAATTTTTAAGTTTTTCATCTATCTAGAATGGATTTGATGTATAGTGTGAAGTGGAAATCTGATTTCTTTATTTTATTAATATGGATAATCAACTGTCCACCCAACCCCTCCCTTTTCCCCTATTGATCTGTAATGCCACCTCTGTGACATATCATAGGTCTATGTTTCCATTGGTCTATTTCCATTCTCCTCTGTTTCACTTAAATCTTTGTCTTCTACATGTCACACTGACTAAATTACTCTGTGTAACATTTGTGAATACCCCCCTTCTCATCACCTTTTCTTGGCTTTTGTTCTTCCATTTAGAACTTAGACTCAGCTTGTCAAGTTCCATTAAGGGAGGGAAAAACTATTAACACAAATTCCATCCTGCAGCAGTCAAATTCTGCTTTAAATCTGTAGTTTTATCTTGGGTAGAAATGTCTTGCTCTTGCCCGTGTGGTAAAATAATTCCACTTAGTTCTCTTAGAATTTTAGGAGCAAATCAGCTTTCTGTCCCTCACTAAGGGGTAAAGAGTTATATAATCCTTTCCTGTGCAATGTATCTTGGCCTGTGCCCCTGCAGATGAGTGTCCTTGCTTTCTCTCTCACAATCACTTAAAACTTTTGCATCCTAGAGGAGAAAGGCAAGGGAAGGAAGTAGGCAGAGCTACAGTCACCCCAATCAGCTCTTTGGAAGCATGTGTGCAAGAGTGTCTAATGCCCAACCTTCTGTGTTTTAAGGCTTTTACTTCCTATAAAAGAAAATTCAGGGAAGTAGGAGATGCTTCAGCCTGTTTCCTGCCATTCTCTAATTACCCCACCCAAGCTGTCTGCCCTAACAGTGAGGCTGTCCCTGATCTACTGCCTGCCCCACTTTGTCCTGTGCATTCAAAGGAAAGCATGTGAAGTTTTCATGTGAGTGCAGACTCCCATTGGTCAAGCACACCAGCATTTCCAGACTCGTATGCTAGCACAGACTATGTCGTTGGCGCTTTCTGTTTACAGGTTTAGCTGATTCTTACTTATATATGGTTCAGCCAACACTTTGTTTCCTCATTCCCATTGCTCATGCACAGATGAGACTGTCCTGGTGTTCAGTCTTTCCTTGAAATGGCTTATGCCTCTGCATTTCAGGTTAGTTCTGTCTTAATCCATTTTCTGTTGTTATAACAGAATACCTGAAATTGGGTAATTTATAAAGAAAAAAGGGTTTAGGCTCATGGGTCTGGAAACTAGAAAGCTCAAGATCAGGCAACCAAATCTGGTGAGGGTCACATGAAGCTTTTACTTGTGGTTGAAAGTGAAAGGAAAAGTGAGGACTTAAGAATGAGAAAAGAGCCTGACTTCTCTCCATAGCTGTCCCGTTCCTGCCTGACAGAAAGGTATTAATCCATTCATGAGGGCTTCACCCCATGATCTAAACATCCACACACACACTAGACCTCACCCCCAACACTTCTGCAATGAGGAATTAAGCCTCAGTATGGCATGACTTTTGGTGAAGACAAACTATATTCAAACCATGGCAGTTGTCTGTCTTGTGACCCTAGTTCTCTAATGGGCTTAAGCAAAGAGATGACTTTATCTATTTTTGTTTGTTTTGTTTTTCTTGTTTGGTTGCATCTTTTTGCATCTTTTTGAAGTCAAAACTTCATACTGATTTTTGTTTGATGACCTTATATTTGTCACATTTGCTAAATTCTTTTAATAATTCCAGTACTCTTTCAAGATATTCCTTTAGGCTTTCCTGGTAGAGATAAATATGTTTCTAAGTAGATAATCATGTCACCTGGAGATAATTTCTTAATATTTCTTAGTATATTATAGTTTTTTCCTATTACAGCGTATCAAACCTCCAATACTATGTTGAATAGAAATTTGGCTTCCTAGTTGATCCTGATTCTAAAAAGACTATTTTAAATATTTCATCATTGCATGTGATCTTTTTCTACAAGCATGTCCACTTTCAGCTTGCCTTTTTTTTTGCACCTTTTTAATGTTATAACAAATGTAAAAAAATGACTTTTGTTACTTATATACATTAACTGTATCATATATTTTTTATAGGGCCCAAGACAATTCTTCACTCAAAAAAAAGAAGGCAAAAAGAAAGGAGGCTGTAGGTTGAACACACCTGAAGGAATTATCTTTTATTCTTATTTAAGAAATTTGAGGGGTTTTAGTTTTAAATTAAATATTTCTCCTATATATGTTGAGCTTATCTGTAGAATTTTCCCTTTAATCATTTACTTAATGTGGATTATATTTTGTATTTAATGTTGAACAAATCTGTCTTGATCAGTATTACCTATTTTCATATATTTCTGGGTTCAGTTAGCTAGTATGTAGAAATTTAGCATCTATGTTCATGAGTGAATTTTATCTATAATTTCCCTTTCTCATATTTTCCTTGTGCCTTTCTAAAATTGTGTGGTTCTGTTAACAACATTATATTCACCTCATAAACAATTTTTTTATTTTCTGGAAAAGTTTAAGATTAGAATTTTCTGTCCCAAAGTCTATATTTTGACAATGATTGAAATTTATTTTATAGCCTAGGACTAAAGCCACTCATTATGGTCAATTTTTGTGAATATTTGTGGAGGGAAGTGAAATTTTACCTCTTTCCTCTTGGGATTTGTTCATTTGTTTTGGTCTGGGCCTAAGAATTAAATTGACATAAGATAGATTAACAGGAAAAAAGCATACAAATTTATTTAATATAAGTTGTATATGACATGGAAATCCTCATAAAGAAATGAAGACTAAAGAAGCAGTTCTAGTTAAACATTTATCTACTGAGTTGAATAAAAAGTAGTAAATTGTGAAGCCATTGAAGACAAGATTTGCAATAGGGTTGTTAACTGCAGAGAAGTCACTGAAAAGGTAAGGCTTAATTTAACAAGGTTTGTGTGTGCAGATATCTCTTAGCTTTGAATCCCCATTTCTAGTGATAAAAATATCTTTCTTCAAATGTAGGGATGACACCTTCTATCTGGGAGTTTCATCTCCTGCTTTTAGGAAGGTCAAAGTGTTCTTCCTGCATCTGCTTGCTCACTCACTTTTTCTTCTTTCTTTCTTTCTTTTTTTCTTCCTTCTTTCCTTCCTCCTTCCTCCCTCCTTGTTTCCTTCCTCCCTCCTTTCCTTCTTTCTTTCTTCCTTCCTCCCTCTTTGTTTCTTCTTTTCTTTCTTTCTTTTTTTTTTTTTTTTTTGTTACTGGGGATCAAACTCAGGTCCTTGCACTTGCGCACAAGGCGGAACCACTGAGCTAAATCCCCAGCCCCTTTTCTTTCTTTTTTTCAGAAAAGTTCTCAAGTGATTCTCCTGCCTTAGCTTCCTAAATACCAAGATTATAGGAGTGCAACATTATGCCCTCGTTGCTTTTCTGTTTTCTTAAAATGCCTTTAACTCCAAACAATAAATACGCCAGAGTGGATATTTTGGGGTATCTTCAATTCCATGTGTACTATAGAAATTCCATATGTATTATAGAAAATATAATCTCATTACTGGGCACAGTGTTGATATTTGTTCAGTTAGATCAATCTTGTTCATTGTGGTGCTAAAACTTTCTGTATCCTTACTGATTTCTTTATCTGCTGTTGACAGAATTGTGTTAAAATTTCCTGCTGCAATATTGGGTGTGTCAATTTCTAATGGTAGTTCTGTCAATTTTGCTTTATATAGTTTGAGGCTGCCACTGAGGATATATAAATATAGGATTGTTACATCTTGCTGATCAGTTGAACATTTATCAGTAATTAGTGACTATTTTATCTTTATTTTCTTTGTCTTTTTTTAATATGGTGTTTTATTATGGTAAAATATACACAGCATGCAATATACCATTTTAACCATTTTTAAGTATGAAGTTATGAATGTTCAGTTCATCTACATTGTTTTGTTGTTGTTGTTTTGTTTTGTTTGGTACCAGGGATTGAACTTGGGACCATGAACTTGCGAGGCAGGCTGCAGAACCACTGAGCTAAATCCCTGGCCTCATATACATTGTTTAACATCCAAAGATTTAGCTGTGTTTTAGCATATGAAAGGATTGCCTTCCTTCTTTTTTTTTTTGGTACGGGGGATCAAACGTGGGTCCTTCCACTTGCGAGGCAGGCGGCAGAACCACTGAGCTAAATCCCCACCCCCCAGGATTGCCTTCCTTTTAAGGCTGAGAAATATTCTGTGGTATGTATATAGCACATTTTGTTTAGCCATTAATCTTTTTATGGATATTTGGCCTGCTTCCTGTTTCTATCTTTTGGCTATTATGAATAATGCAACTATGGACATAGATGGACACATATCTGTTTGAATACCTGTTTTCAATTCTTTGGATCATATGATAAATTTATATTTAATATTATAAAGGACCATTACATGATTTTCTGTAACAGTTTCACCATTTTATATTCCCACCAATAATGTATATGAGTTCAAATTTCTCTATATCTGAACCAACACATGTTATTTTATGTCTTTTTTTAAATCATAACCATCCTAACGGATATGAGGTGTGTTATGGCTTGTGTTTACTGTCCCCCCAAAGCCTCATCCTTTTTCTGAGATGGCTGAATCTAGACTGTGATTCTGGGATTAAGAGTGTGTGATTAGGGGCAGGGATTTAGCTCAGTGGTGCTGCCATCTGCCTCGAAAGCGCAAGGTCCTGAGTTCGATACCCCGTACCAAAAAAAAAAAAAGTGTGTGATTACTAAACCATGTGAGTGATTGGTTTGGCACCGCCCTAATCCTGGTACTCTGAATGAAATAAAAGAGATAGAAAGACGATGTTAAGGTCCCTTGTTGCTTCTGCTGTCTTCCACTGCCATAAACTGTCGCCACTCTGCCACCCTGCCTTGGAGCCAGCCAATTATGGACTGAAACCTCTAGGAACTGTGGGCTAAATAAACCCTTTCCCCTTTAACTTTGAGTGTCTGGTATTTTGTCTCAACAAACAGAAAAAAGTAACAACACAAGGTGGAATTTATTTGTCGTTTTGATTTACATTTTCCTAATAATTAGTATTATTGTGCATCTTTTCATATGCATACTGACCATTCATATATCTTCTTTGTAGAAATGGCTATTCAAGTAAATCTCATTGACTTGGGGTTGTTTTTTGTTTGTCTTATTTTGCTTTATTATTGAGTTTCACTGGTTTGTTGTTATTTTGGTTTTGATTTTGGTCTGTTGTATTCATTCATCCTGGCCCCTTTTTATCAGGAATGAAACTTCATTTGAAAGAAAACTAAATTAACTTTGAAATGTGTGTCCCACATTCATTTTGTTTTATTTAAATATAGTAGTTATCAATGTTCATGTGCTATACTTATATAAGAAAATTGAAATGACTCTTAACATTGATGCATTACTGACCAGTTCTTTTTCCATGCATTTGAACATTTTTCACCTTGCTCTTTTCATTTAAACATTATGTGACTATTTTCCTTATGTAATAAAAACTCTATAAGTGCCGTTTTAATAGCTCCATTATCTCTAAGTAAATTGTGTAGTACCATTTATTTACTTTTTCTATTGTTAGTATTTTGTAATTCTAACTTTCACTAAAATGCCATGATGAATATCTTGTGTAGATAGCTTCCCTATTCCTTAAGTTTCAAGTGTTTCCTTAGGATAGATCTGTATTAGTAGACCAATGGAATCATGGGGGGGGGGTAGTTCTTTTAACACAGGTCAAATTGCTTTCGAAGAAGTTTGTACTAATTTACAATCTCATCAGTAGTGGGTGACTTTAAATATAGTAAAATTATCTCCATGTAACTCTGTAATTCACCATTACTGAACCCTGTCATTTAGAATCTTTATTGACTAGGAATGTGATTCAGTGGTAGCACTCTTGCCTAGCATGCATGAAGCCCTGGGTTCCATCTCCAGCATCAATAAATAAATAGTCACTGGGCATGGTGGAACATCCTATAATCCTAGCACTCTGGGAGGCTGAAGCAGGAAGATCAAAAATGTGAACCCAACCTAGGTAACTTAGCAACTTGGCAAGACCCTGTCTCAAAATTTAAAAAGGACTGGGCATGTAGCTCAGTACAAAGGCCCTGCATTCAATCCCTAGTACTACAAATAAATAAATATCTTTGCTAGTTTTAGAGGTAAAAGAAATGTATCCCCTTGTTGTAATTGCCATTTCATTGACAACTAATGAGTTTGAACAAAATGTTAACCAGATGTTGATTGGTTAGCCATGGATGTATATTTTATTTGAAAGTTGTATGTTCATAAACTTGCTCATTTAGGCCACTGTAATGTTCAAATTGCTTAATGTTTGTTGGTTTGTTTTTAGTAAAACTGGAACAGCATACATAAGAAAGATACTACAACATGAAACTCCTAAAGAATTTTTGTCCTCAGTTATTGTGGAAATGATACAGCCTTTTGGAGTAGAAGAAGTAAATGAGAGCTCTTGTTTGTCTAGTTCTCTTGTCATAAAAGAAATTAGAAATCCCTTCTATAAACTTACTCTTGATTTACAATGTAAGTGTTAAAACATAATACATCTCTGGTGGTTAAAAAAAATGCAAAAATACCTTTTGAGAAGACTGTCTCTGTTCATTATAGAGCAATAGGTTTCAAATTTTAGTCTAATTGGCAACTTACCAAAGTTTACATATGCTTAGATTCCTGAGTATTTGTTCCTAATATAATAAAACCTCCCTAAAACTTTATCAATACATCATCAATAGTGGTGCCTATCATTTATTCCTATGAGATTATTTTGTCTTAACAGTGCTCAGAAGTGAGACAAAATAGGAACTATGTCAATTAAAAATGAAAAAATTTTAAGAAAATATCAAGTTCTTGCATATTAATGCCCAATATAATAGAATAACTTTAAATCACAGTTATACAGAATATTTCTATTTCAAAAGATTATCTTTGAATAAGGATAGGTAGACTATGTATGTATCAAAGGATACACAGCAAAAATTAGTATACTTTAAGGATTTTGGTCTTACTCTGAGTAAATGAAAAGCCATTATAGGGGCTTGTATAGAAGGTGACACAATCTGTTTTAATGAGAGTGCATTGGCTGCTGTGTCAAGAATAGACTAGGCAGCAGACAGGGCAAGAAGGAAAGCAGAGTAATCAGCTAGGAGGTTATTGCTGTAATCCAGTGGGAAATCATATTAAACTTAAGATGCATGTTACTCATCCAAGTAGAGAAGTAAGGTAGGCATTTAGAAAAACAAGTCTGGAGCTCAGGAAAATTGCTTGTGTATGATAATGCTATGATACCAAGTGAGAAGACCCAGAAAATGAGTGGACATACAGAAAGCAGGATGTCTGAGGTTTAACTACAGGCATTCTGACATTGAGCCTCTGAGAGATGGGAAGTTATTATTGGTAAGAGATTAAACAGTATGGACAGAGAAGAACCAAAGGTTTGTCTCAAAAGCCAAGTGAGGAAGGTGTTTCAGGAAGGAAGGACTGGGCATGGTGGTGCATGCCTATAATCCCAGCATTTGGGAAGTTGGAGCAGGAGGATCATCTCAAATTCAGGGCCAGCCTGGGCTACATAATGAAACCCTGTCAAAAAAAAAGAAAGAGGGCCGGGGATTTAGCTCAGTGCTTCCGGTGCCTGCCTCACAAGTGCCAGGTCCTGAGTTCGATCCCTGGTTCAAAGAAAGAAAGAAAGGAAGGAAGGAAGGAAGGAAGGAAGGAAGGAAGGAAGGAAGAAAAGAAAGAAAGGAGTGTACCTGTATTACATGCCATCAATCAATCAGGTGAGATTAAATGAAAACTGGCCTTTCAACCCCTGTGAAAGTCATTGTGATGTGACAAAAGCTGTTGGCTGGAATAGTATAGGCAAGTCTAATTAGAATGGATTCAAAAACTGACGAGAGAAGCAGAACTGAAACCAGTGAATAAAGGTAACTTTCAGGGAGTTTACTTCTAAAGGGGAGGAGAGAACCAATGTGGCTTTTTGAGGGAATGTTGGGAAAAATTGGGGGTTGGTTTGACATGGAGTGTGCATGTGCAATAAAGAGAATTATGAGGCCTTTTTGATTATTTCTATTTTTTTCAGAATGAGGATAGTCTTCTCCGCATGTTTAATGACCTATTGAAAACATTTGGTAATGCTGATGTTTCTCTCCTTGAAAAAACCTTTCTTTGGTTTTGTTGGTATCTTCTCTGATGGATTTTCTCGTTTCTTCCTTGTGTCCTTGACAGGATCTTTTCCCCATTTCTATTCCTTAAATGATGATATCCTTTAAGGTCCTACCCTAGAGCCTCTTCTAAATCTTCCTGCTTTCCTTGAAGAATCAATTACTCATCCAATCAACAAACTGAATACCTTCTATATAATAGGCACACATTTAGGTACTGGAGGAACACTGGCTACATTACTGATCTCTTGTGGAATTACAATAAATAAGGCTCTTAGCAATTCCATAGTAAAATCAACTTTCCTCATTGAAACTTCTTATTTATTTTCTTTCTTCCCTTGGTCATGTATAGTAAGTTTCTAAAGTCTGTTCTTATCTTTTGGGTGATTTCAAATGGAATTCCAGGGCTTAGACTCAAGAATGTTGGGGGGAGGTCTTGGTTCCTTTAAGGCTACAGGAAATGAATACATTTCCACAAAAATATGGTAGATAGAAAGGTGAATTACAAAGATTCACCAAAATATCTCCTTTAAAGGGTGGAGAATGTGTGACAGTGAATAACTCTCTTCTGTTTCCTGTTACCTGGACTTGGCAGATTAATGCCAAATTTTATAAAACAATCTTGGGGAAACCTAGAAATACTCATATATGATCATTTTTTACTAAATGATATATTATCATGGAAATAAACTAAGCGATATTTCTGCTGCCTGAAAGAGATAGATATCTGTCTCTTTATAAGAATACTAATTCTAGCTGGGAGGTGGCATACATATGTCTGTAATCTAAGCATTCTGAGAAGCTGAGACAGGATTGCCTAGCTCAAACCTACCCTGGGCAATTTAGCAAGATACTGTTTCAAAATTTTTAAAAGGAGGAGAGGTTGGCCGGGGATTTAGCTCAGTGGTTCCATCGCTTGCCTTGCAAGCACAAGTACCCGAGTTCAATCCCTGGTACCAAAAAAAAAAAAAGGAGGAGATGTTTGGGGACAGAACTCAATGTGAAGGTCCTGCTTTCAATCTGCAATACTGGAAGAGGGGAAGGAGGAGAAATAACTTTCTTTACTTAGATATTTTTTCCTGCTTATATTTTTATACATTAATTTCATATTAAACATTAAAGTATAGGTTTACATTTGATATATTCATGACAAACTTTCTTGATGGTACATTTGAATTATAACATGAAATCTGGCAAACATGTCCTCGAGTTAAGATAATATTTTTAAAATTCAAGTGGTTTATTAGTTATATCTACCTATATGCTTAGTGAACATTATCTGTTTGCTTTTACACCAAATATTTTGTTTTATCTCCAGCTGTTAACGCCTTGTTTCAAGCTACAGATATAGAGAAAACTGTGGTGATTCCTGGTTACAGCAGCTTCCTGATCACAGAAATTTCAGATGATAAGAATGCATTAGCTATTGCTACCATGCCTGCAATCGCACCCAACAATGTAACCTTTTTAGAGGGTGACTGGTTCTTGTACAACTTTGGGCAAAGGAATGGACGGACATGGAATATATACTCAAAACCATGTCATTATGTGCTTCAACAACTTGATGATTCACCAACCCTGAATTCTGTGAAATACATTGATCTGGGAAGCTCTCAGTCTTTAGGAGTTAAGGTCGTACCTAATAAAAAAGGTAAGTTAGTTTTTATTGGTATTATGGCTTGCATTTAGATGTCCTCCCCTGCCAAAGCCTCATGCAGTCATAGGTGGAGCTTTCTCAGAAATGGCTGGATCTAGAGTATGTGATGCTGGAATTGATTCATGATGCAATGCTAAGATCAAGGGTACTAGAATTAAGGGTATGAGTGCTACCTGCCCTATGTAGCCTGGATATGATATAAGAGAAAGAGCTGTGGTCATCCCCTGTTTGCTTTGCTACCTTCTGCCTGCCGTGGACTGTTTCTCCTCTGTGATGCCTGTCTGCCATGCCACTGCCTTGGAGCCAGATGATTATCAACTGAAACCTCTAAATAAACCTTTCCTCTTTTAACTTGTGGGTGTTGGGTATTGTGTCTCAGCAATGAGAAAAATAAGACAATTGGGAAAAGTCAAAAGCAATTATTATTTCATTTCTTGAATAGAAAGTATGCCTTTCAATATTTAAAACTTTGGCTTCCAAAATTGTTGGCATGCTATTAATAACAGTAGTGAGACCAGGGCCGGGGATTTAGCTCAGTGGTTCTGCCGCCTGCCTTGAAACCGCAAGGACCCTAGTTCAATCCCCAGTACCAAATAAAAAAAACAGTAGTGAGACCAGGAGTTAGACAAACAGTAAACAGATAAAATAGGAACCTGAGTAAACTGAAATAAGCCATGGAAAAATTAAAGCACAATGGGAAAAAGCCCCTCATGCACTAGAAAGCTAGAGGGCAAGGAAGCCAAGGAACAGGTGTTCTGATGTCAGAGGCCCAGCTAAAAATGATGACCCATTGTTTCAAAGGCCAAGGGCCTGGGTAAACAGAGATATGCAGTGAGAATCTGGGGGCAGGGGAATTCTGCTCGTCCTGGAATCAAAAGCCTAAGTTTAAACTGGCAACCAGATTGTTTCATTGTCTCATTTTCACACGTCCAAGATAGCCCAATAAAAGTACATACTATATAAACTCTGAACTTAGATGCTTCCTCAGCAACCTCCCGTGGGGTCCCTCTCAGATGGTGAGAGCTTTTCTTTGTTCTTTCTAATAAACTATACTTGGTTCATTCCCCCTCTGCTGTCCTGTCCACTTCACTCTTCATTGTCGTCAGGACAAGAGCCTAGAAACAGAAAATTGGCTACATCTTTGGCACCCAACGTGGGACCCACATTTCTACGGAGAGGTAAGAGTGGTGGAACAACCAGTCCTCATTTTCTTTGTTAATCCCCTGCTGATCCCCCTGGACAGTGGAAATGTTGACCAAGCAGGGAGCTGGATTCCTTTCTGAGACAGATCTCTGGATGCAAGAAACTGGTAAATGCCAATGTGACAACTGCAAGATTCTGGTGAGGTCTTCTCCACAGTGGGTGCTCAAATGTCCTTGGATGGAAACCACGTCCCAGTAGGCCAACTGAGTATTCAGCAGAGAAACCTCCACTTGCCTTATCACATCCAGCCTGAGGGGAGAGGTAAATTCTCTTGGTGTTCTCCAGGTATCCACTTTCCAGATGACCTGAGACCCCCTCTGTCAGAGCCTTCTATAAGCCTCCACTAAGGGTTGAGCCATAGGTCCTGGCTTTTCTCTCTCTGCTAGTATGACAGACTCTCTTCTTCAGATATTTCCTGATAGATTTACTGGACTGGGAACAGGTTAGGATTCTACCCTACATTCTGGGTTCCCCCAGTCCCTGATGTCCCCGGTGTCCAGCCCCCACCCTAACTTTCATAGAGCCAATGCCTGGCAAGTAATCCCTTGGATTCCCTGAGAAAAGTTTGTTAGAACAAAGGTCAAAGTTAAGGAAGAGACCTTCAGGCCATTTTAGCCAGCCTCACCTTACTCTGGCATAGCCTCCAGTGCTGGGAGGTAGAGGCTAATTTTGGAACTCACTCAACCACTTGCTTCAAATTCTGGAAGAAAGACTGCTACTTCTTTAGACAACAGCCACTTGGCACCACTGTCCCTCTCTCCTGGAGGTTGGGCTAAGGGATATCCTTATGAGGGCTTTCTGTCACTCCTGGGAGGCCCTCAAAATTTATCCAATCTAAACCCATCTATCCACTGTGAAGATCAGACCTTTGGTGACCTCTCCCAGGACAATATGTGGACATATAGTGCAACTAATGTCAACCAGCCTATGGAGTGGGTCCCCTCTCCTGTTGTGGGCAAGGAGAGGCAAAGAAGAGGGAGTAATAGTGAGTATAAATGGGATACCCTTTCCTCCCAGCCTCTCTTACAGAGGAGAAATGCTGAGACTCAGAAGGAACTTTCGTGTTACTTCCCGCATGGGCTATGCCCCCTATCAAAAGAGCAGTTTACCATAGTAACTCTATTGCAGAGGGACAGCTGTTAAAGGAGCACCTTACCATAGTAACTAATACAGAGTGTCCCAAGGGACTTGCACTGTGGTGACACCTATTCCAAAATTAACCATCAGCCTAAGCCTTCTTTAAACAGTCCTTGCTTTCTCTCTTTTCCCCTTCTGACTCTGATTGGTGTTAACTTATTATAAGATATCTCTATTATGATTCACTTAAAAGGCACTAATTGTTAACCCCTAAAAAAGTTCTGATTAGTCTATTTATAGTTATAACCCTAAAACTGTAACAGATTATTATAGTTCAACTTGGCCAGTAAGAGCACACTCTGATTTAAAAGTAATTGTTTTGTATGTTGTAAATTTCTTGTTTGTCCATTTGAATGGATTGAGGTAACTACAGCTGCTTCATTAAAGCTTTTTGAGCTGATATCAATTTTATTTTTCCTTTTATTCTTGCCCTTGTAAATGTTTGGCTCTTTTTTGGGCTTTCTGTGAAAAACTGGTTGTACTTTTGGACTTATGGAGATAGTCAGATTCATGTAATACATTACAAAATGATGGCTAATTGGCTTGAGATTTACATGGGACTTGCAAATTAAAGTCTTAAAGTTTGGTAACATGAAGGTTATATATGATTTGGGTTAATATGTATATATACTTCTGTGTGTTAATGTTCAGGTATTATTATCCTCCAAAATTCCTACTTAAGTTTGCTTATAGTTAAGTAGATACTCATGATATTAGCCTAAATGCTTTGGTTCACATAGCTTGACAGTGAGCTAGTTTAAATCTATTGGTAAGAGTAAAGATATCTTTAAAGTTAGCAACATGTTTCCACCCAGGTTGTTAGCCAATCAAGGTAATATCAAAAATTGGTTTTACACATACAATGCTTCCTGGGCATGGTGGTGCACACCTGTAATCCCAGCACTCAGGAGACTGAGGAAGGAGGACCACAATGAGTTTGAGGGCAGTCTTAACTACATAGTGAGTTCAAGGCCAGCCTGAACTACATAGCAAGACTCTGTCTTTAAAAGCCTAAACAAATAAATGAATAAAATGCCTATTATTTTCTGTGCACATTAACTTGAATTTTCCCTTGGTCAAAAATAATATACATAGGTTAAAATATATTGTCTTAGCTATTTTTCTCATTGCTGAGACAAAATACCTGACATCCAAAGTTAAAGGAGGAAAATGTTTATTTGGCTCACAGTTTGTAAAGGTTTCAGTTCGTAGTTGGGTGGCTCCAAGGCAGGGTGGCTCCAAGGCAGGGTGGCATGGCAGAGGGGAATCACAGGGCCAGAGATTTAACTTAGTGGTGCCATCACCTGCCTTGCAAGCACAACATCCTGAGTTCAATCTCCAGCATCAACCCCCTCCCAAAAAAGAAGGGAATCACAAAGGAGAAACAGTTCATGGCAGGCAGAAGGCAGCAAGGCAACAAGCTACAAGCAACAACCAGGGAGGGACCCTCTTTCTGTCCCTTATATCTTATCCAGGCTACAGGCCCTTAGAGTGGGGAGCACTCACACCCAGGGTGGGGTACCCTCTATCTTATCCAGAACTATGCCAAACCAATCAGTGGACTAATTTAGTAATCATACACCTTTGATCCTAGCATCACACACTCTAGATCCAGCCATCTCTGAAAAGCCCCTCCTATAACACCATGAGGCTTTGGGGGGACGTCTAGATACAAGCTATAACATATGTTAACTGTTATGATTTGTTTCTCATGAGTCATTTAAAATAATTGTTAAGATAAATGAGTGGGGACCCTTTAGACTTAGACAACTGCTAGACAAGACTCCCCTCTGTGGTTGAAAAGCAGCTGCCCAAACCAATTTGTTCCGTTTTCTCCACTGACAGCAAACTTTCCAGTTTTTTTTTTTCTCAGAGTCTTATGGTGCCACACTCCAACGAATGTTATTAAATATATTATTATAATATATTTAAGTTGATTTTAATTAAAAGGTTAAGCTTTCTATGTCTAAATACGGTTTTCTTAAGATACTAAGATCCCCTTGGTTAAACTTACAAAACTAAATTTAAAAAAATAAAGCAAAGTTTCTATATTGTACTAAGATAATTTCTTGTGTTTTCTAGTTAGGCTTTTTTTTTTTTTGGTGCTGGGGACTGAACTCAGGTCCTTGCACTTGCGCAGCAGGCGGAGAAACCACTGAGCTAAATCCCCGGCCCCAGTTAGACTTTTTAAAATAAAACTAAGTTTTAAGATTAAATTAAATGTTGCTTATAAAGTAATTGCAATAATCATTTTATGATTGTTAAACAACTATTATCTTAATTTATGACATAGCCTATACATCTAAAAACAAGATATGCTGTGAGTCTAAACTTTAAAGTCAAGTTTATAGAGTTAAGACCACATAAGTTTAAAGTAGTAAAAATAACAGGTACTCTCTTTTATACAATATACATCTAGACCTTAGACATAAAATGATCAAAATTTGATATCTCTTTTAAGCTTAGTCCTGCTATTTAAACCTTGATGTATGTCTTTTGGTTTTGATTAGCAAACATTTTGTTATTGTATAAATGAGATACACCTGTATATTGGATAATACAGTGGTACTTTAGTTTACAAACTTAATTTGTTTTACAATTTTGGGGAAGATGACTGTGTTCGTGTTTATGTGGGAAAGATGGCCATGGTTGTC